GCGCGTCAACTACTTAAGTCACGTAAGTGTAGTGAGTGTTATTTCGCTGGAGAAGGCGGTGTTCTAACCCTCACTGGAACTTGAGAACCGGCGGCGACCTGTACGTCGGCACGCAAGGTTTTCCTTATCAAGGTATCGCCACCAGTGGGATATCATCTCAGCCTAAAACAGCTCTAAACTCCAGAATGGTCTTCCGTCTTGTATTGCGGTGCAGTGCTTGTAAATATAAGTAGTGGTGAAGGCAGTGACGGAGATGGTAATGGAAGTAGGGGGTGTGTGGCAGATGACAGTGGGAACCGGCAGAAGAGGGGGCAGAAATGGTGGCGCGGAGGAAATGGGATTGGAGATGGTGGTGGTGGTATTGGAATTGGTCAACACGACGGTGGTACTGGAACGATGGGAGAGATGTTAGCAGTGGTGACAGCGGGAGTGTCAGCACTTACGGTGGATGAAGCGGCGGCGGCGGTGGGAGTGGTGGCGGCAGTCGCAAAGCAGGGCAAGGCGCAGAGAGTCATCAGATGAAGTTCGGAGGCTGTCATCACATCCACTCCAACGAACTTTACATTCACCTCGTTCTGGCGCAGCCACAGTCGGAAGTGGGCGCATGATCATTACATCTTACAGACACGTTTTCTCTCGAAATGTTAAATCCGCACCATTTTTATAGCAGTCATAGGCCGTCCCTTGTATCTTTGTCATCAGTACTTCATTGTTCATTCTCTACCGCTACTCTCCCTGGTACAATTTCCTTACTACTGTTTCACTCTCCACAAACGTCTCTAAAACAACCACTAGCCCCTCACTCACTCACTCCAACATCACCTCCAGTGTCACAAATTCTATTAATTATATTTTTACATGGTCTTTTTTTCCATTATCTCTATCTCTGACAAAATCACCATTAGCATTATTAATTTCACAACCATACTTCACTTTCATTCCTAGTACCACTGCGACGACCAAATTTCTATTATATCTATTACTTAAACCACAAAAATTAAATCACCAACACCACTTATATTACGCCTCTAGTACTTTAATTACTTCATATGAAATAGTATCAAACGTTACAAACAATGACTAGTCTTCAAAGCATTCACTTTAGCCACAACCATTATATCAATAGAACCACGGAAATTGCAAATTCGTAATCAAGTTAATTCCATCATCTCCATACATCCTACCCACTTGAAGCATCTAAACGTCCCATAGCATCACATGTCCTTTCAAAATGTGTCTCCTTTCCCCATTCTCATTGATCCTCATCCTCATATTTTCTTTGTATTCCCTGTGCGCCTTACTCTGCTAGTACATATTACCGTCCTCGTTCTCCTTGCCTTCGCAATACCTTACCAAACTCATCCTTCCCCGCCCATAGTTTCTTCCTTCTTTCCTGACTCAGGGAATCAACCGATGTCACTGCAGTGTTTTGACCGCGAGGTCCTCCTCTTCGAGACATGACGGTGGCAGGATTTTCGACACCAGCGGAGAATTAAAGCGGCCGGTTGCTCTGATTGGTAATTTTCTGTTGTTTATACTATCAATCCCACGTGAATGCCGGAACAGTACCCTAACAAACGGACCACGGACCGCGCACGATCATCCCTTCCCCTTCCTTGTCCTATTCTCAACGCTTACACTCACTTACACTTACTGCGCTACACTACCATGCATTTGGGAAGATTAGAGCTTGTCCCGACTGTGGCGGAGCCCCACTGAGGGAGATACCTGTATGCAAAAAAGCCATAATCCGTGCAGGTTGGCGCAGGTCTCACCGTCCAGCGGGGGAAGAACACAGCCACCTACTGTGACAAAACGTGAACTACATTTACGGGACTAGTGATCATAGCAAACGACACACACGAAAACAAGAAATATATGAATCCCCTGTCCTCTTGTCCTACTCATTTTTGTTGCCCATTCCACTTGCGACACACGTCTCTCCTTCGTGACGTTGCTCGCGTCCTCACTCAAGGCCTCCTCTACCTCTTCATCCACAGTCACCCTCCTCGTCATCCTCGCCCACCGCTTCACACTCCTCCCCATCCCACCGCCAGCCACATCACGAGGCGACGTCGGGTGCGCGGCCGCAGCCGCTGCG